GTAACTCACATGCTGATGTCTGTATCCAATTGTTTCAGATTGCATAGCTATTCAGAAAATAACAGATTTCCTGAAGGAAAAAAGCAGCATATTAAAACCATTTATTAAAGAGACCTTCTACTGAAGCCTAGGAATAGAAGCCTTTTCATTGTACATACATGAAATCAAATCATTAAAAGAAGTTGCAAGCTCAAATACTTAAAGATTATAAAATTATGAAACACAAGCAAACAACAACATTGTAGTTTCACCTGCACAAAATGGGGGAATGGCCTGTGTTCACATTTCACAGCTTTTTTGGCTTRAGGACCAAAGAAATACTAAAGAAATTTGAAAAGACAATCTTTTTATTTTTTCGAGATGGGAAAAAAGAACTATACAATACAATTGTTTAAAAAAAAAAGAAAAAAAAAGAAACAAACTAATCTCTCSTTATTAGATTTTGACCTTTGCTTCATGGGGCAATGTGGCAGCCTGTCATCTTTGATGAACAGTAGAAAATTGACCTCAGGGAGCTTGGCAAGARACATATAAGATATTCAGCAGGAGTCAACATTCCAGAAGCCAAAGTGTTAGGATGTTCTTGATTTTTTTTTTTTCTGCAGCATATTTTCAGACAATGCAGAAAGTCATTTTTTCTGGTTACCATTCTTAAGATACCAGAAGGCCCCAATCAAGAAGTATTTGAATGGTGGGAGTAAGTGGTCTATGTTAGCCAATAAATATTGTTTTAATTTAAACTCTTGCATCTTCGGATTTTGTGTTAAGTTTAAAGAAAAAAACACACTTTGAAAACTTTAGACTATTAAAATTATTTTTTTCTTTAAATTTTAGACCATCGAAAAGAAGTAATGCTTTGCTGATTTTAGCACCTCCGCAATCTTTTTCTTGTTTGAATATTAACATAACTTTTATGATATTCTGTTCATTACATAGAGTTTGCAGGCTAATTAGGTCAAATCCACAAGTTTCTGCTRTTAACAAATTCAGTAGACAGGTGTGCCAGAGAAGAGCAACCAAGATGATTAAGGGAATGCAACATCTCTCATATGAGGAGAGGCTGAGTGAGCTGGGCCTGTTTGCTCTGGAGAAGAGAAGGCTGAGAGGGGACCTGATTAACATATGTAAGTTCAGGAAGGGAGAATGCAGGGAGGAAGGGGACAAGCTGTTTTCACTGGTGGCCAGCGACAGGACGAGGGGTAACGGCCATAAGCTGGAGCACAGGCAGTTCTGTCTCCAGGTGAGGAGGAACTTCTTTACTGTGAGGGTGACAGAGCAGTGGAACAGGCTGCCCAGGGRGGTTGTGRAGTCTCCTWCTCTGGAGGTCTTCAAAACCCACCTGGATGCCACCCTGTGCCACATGCTGTASGTGTGCCTGCTTGAGCAGGAAGGTTGGACCTCTAGACGATCTSTAGAGGTCCCTTCCAACCTTGAATATCATGTGATCCTCCCCTTCTTACCACATTACAGATCTCTTTCCTTCACCACCCAATACAGCCTTTTTCCTTGAARCCTCAATACAGAGCCATGGAACAAGTGTATTGTAATTCTAGTATATTGCTTTGACCACTTTAATTTTCAGAAGGAATAATCCTGTAGAAGCTGAACAAAAAAGCAGTAAACTTCAACACAATACTATGTAGAACAGCCACATTAGAAAAAGGCTTTTCCCCTCCAGSAGAAAAAATGTCACTGGACTCAAAGAATTTAATTTCCCTTGACTATCAAATCTTTCTCTGAAGCTATGATCTATCATTTTGTAATCATATCTACTTATAAATAACTGCAACTTAAATGACTGAATTGTCTTATAAAAACTAATTTTTTTTTTTTTTTTTGAAAATAGATATTTTATTTTTGGCTTGCTCTCATGCAATTGTAGGTATTGAGGCAAGCAGAGAGTTGTTTTAAAATACTACCATRTTCATAAGTATTAAACTATAAACAGAATTTCACAGCCATCCAACAACCTGCATAAGTAATTCCTCATGGAACTACTACTGGCTAATTCCTTGAATTCCTTAAGGGCTGCAGTAGACATGCCAAAAGTCCATGAGCTTTCTACTCCTTTTCCAACTAATGTTGCCAGAAATGGCAGCCTTCATTGTAACATTCTGCTAGTCTTAGGCACAATATAGTAAGGTATAGTCACTAGAATAGAAACTTCATGAGAATCAAGAAGTTATCCCTTGCAGTTAGTCCTTGTTTATCTTAATTTTTCATTCCTTCTATATGCAAAGGAACAGAATGAAAACCACATTTGTCTTTTAGCTTACAAATGCTTTCAAACCAGTTAAACAATGCATAGTCAGGAAAGCAAAAATGAGATGCAARTGGAGAGGCAGCATTTTTTTCCTCCATTTTTACTTCCCTCCCGCACGTATGGTCATTTTTGACAGATAAAAGTTGTCTGCCTTTCTCTCCAACCATTTTTAGACTTCCATTTTCATTTTGTCTCCCATCCTCCTAAGGTGATGTTTAGCTGATTTTCCCTTTTATACTATCTGCATTTTTGTTCATCTTCCTCTGTCACAGACTGCTGTTCAATCAGTACAAATTTCTCCATTGCATACATTTATAGAGAGTCTGGACAAAGTCATTTTCTGGCTTAATTGATCAGAAACACAGATTACACTGTTAAACAGTTAATGTATATTTTCTTACTTATTCACAGAATTCATGAAACTGCTGCTCTTTTCCATTACGTATTATTCACAGCTATCTTAGATGTATGGCACATGCATAAGATTTTTGTTTACTTCTTCAGATACCTATAAACATCACTGACATACAGCAGGACATGATGGGAGCTGGAAATAAAAGCATATCTTCAAAGRAGAGTTGAAAACCTCCTGAAAATAATTGCTTGAATCTTCATGCTATTACAAGATAGAAATAATACTATTACCAAATGGTAATTTAAATAGGTGTTATTGTTACATGACTCTCATAGCAATAAATGAGAAAGTATCTGTTCTTTCTGCAAGTACGCATATCTTTGATACAAGTGGGTATAGTGGTTTATTCATACATGCTTTGACAGTGAAACATTTCAAATTCAGCCAGAAAGGAGCCAGATATTCCAAATCTATTAAAAAAAGATGCATACTAATTTATCTGCTGACAGAGCTGGAAGGGACTGAATCTGCTCTACAGCACTGTGCTTATCCCAAAGAAGCTAAGACTTAGAGTCTGTATGAAGTTCCTTATGACCAAGCCAAAAGAYGCAAAACTATCCCTACATTCAGAACAGATGAATTGATGCACACAATTATATGCAGACAYAAATAGGCCCAACAGCTTTTAGCTGAAAGCCCTTACTTGACCTGATAAACCTAGAAAATAGCACTTAATCTAGTTATTCCAATGGCAACAAATGATTTCAGAGGTGTGAAGTCAAATGCTTCCAATAAAAGATAAAATATACCTATGAATATTAAATAGATGATGTATTCTAGAGAACACTTACAGCTACTCGAGTTTCTTTCACAAGTTGGAGTAATTCCATCAGATTATTATTATCAGTTAAAGAGAATATATTACATCTGGACTGACAAACCAACCTATTCTGGTGTACTACTCATGGATATAAATGGCTACGGTAGCCTCTGGCAGTCATGAAGCATTTCAGTGGTAGTGGCTGTACTTTAGTAAGAAGGAATGAAAACACTCTCCTGGGTAGGATAATTAGAAAAACCTTATAATTCAGACTTTTGACTGTGAGGAACTTGAATCAAAACTCTTGCTACTGATACTTTGCTACTTTTTGGAAAAAGGTCAAATCCAAAGGAGTTTATTCACAAAAATCAAGATTGTTTTCATCACACATCCTTAGATTGATATGATAGACATGAAACTTCATTTCTGCCACCTGCAATTACTGATGCACAACGAATTAGTACTGAAAAACCATAACTTAGAAAAATCATAACTGGAACCTTGAAGCGAACATACAACAGGTCAAAGCCTTCTCTCATTCTCCTGCTCTCAGGAAGTTATAAACACTGAACACTTCCACGCACTTGCAGTAGCAGAACACTGAAATTACTCATTCCCTTGCACATATGAAAGTTTGAATTGTTATTCTATTTGGTTTCTTTAGCTCAGATTTTTAAAGATGCAATTTCTATTCTTAGTGCTATTCTATCGATTAATACAAGATCGAAAAAAAGTAGAAGCATACAAATATGAAAATACTTTCTTTGATTTTTGAAGTGCTAATCTCTTATTCCGATTGTAAAATACACTGACTAAAATGACACACTTTTTCAGAGTTGAGATGTAAGTCACCCTTCCCATCATTTCTCCTTTCACTATCACCACAACGACATAAGCGGAGGCAGTCATTTCCATTAGAAACTCCAGGTATTTATGCAGATTGTCTCTATGTCACATGAATTAGCACTTACTTTAAACAATTTTAAATAAATTATAGACACAGCTGGTATTATTTTGTGCATAAGTTACCAGCACAGCCCACATGATGATAGTGCATAGGTTTCATAGGTCAAACACACCCCACTTTCTCCAGTTTTAACCTGAAAACAGAGAATGTCAAATAAACTGCTGAAGTGGTGAACTCCAGTTTGTGTAAGTCTGGATGGTGCATGTATTTCTAATTTTTAAAAAACAAAAGCACACCACATCACACACACCAAACCAAGCCCTAATACAATCAATTATTTAGACAAAACAAAAAGCTTAAGTGAACTGCAGAGGACATAAAGCAAGATCAAGATACATAAGACTTGCTACGTTAAACAGATAACATGATGTTTCCAAATATGCAGTAAGGAAAAAATGAAGACTGTGTTTTGTCTCAAAGTGAATGCAAGTAGAATAAGATTATTTTCAGTTTTCTGTAAGTGCAGGGGGTGGAAAGGAACTAGGTTTTTGAATATTTCTTGGTAACCAGAGCATCTTCTTAGAATTTTACTTTTTTGTTTCTTGTTCTAAATATGACTCTGATTCAATTAATTTCTGTTTATATACAAAGGTCTTAAAGAACTACAATGAAACAGAACAGCAGAAAGACATACTAAGATGGCAAAATCRAAAACTAAGTCTTGCA